AGGCGCACAAATGATAGTACATTTTAAATTACGTTCATTTTTCTGACCCTGTCCCATTTTCAGCATGAACTCACTACATTTTGATCAATTTCTTAACAAACAAAACTTATGTTATTTTGCATCTCAAATAAATGTATCTTGATCACCTTTTGCATTGAAACACTTATTTTTAGCCATTCTGTACAGAAGTCACGTTCAAAGGCAAATGTCGGCTCTAAGACTGTCACACATGTTTCATGTCTTGTTTTGGACATTTATGTTGTAGTTCTAGTTCAGTCATTTCCTGTTTCCTGTCCTAGTCTGTTTGTAGTTTCTTTGCTGATTAGTTCATTGATTGTTGTCAGCCTGATGAAGATATCTATAGTCATGTCCTCTGTGATTAAGGTGAACTCAAAGACAAGGGGTGAATGCAGAATAACATTTAAATGAAAATAAAGAAATGCAAAACAGTAGGAGGAAAAGAACAAAGCAAATGAACCACGATGAAAAACAGAAACTGATCACTAGGGCAGACAACCAAGACTTAACAAAGCTCAAAGAAACACAAGGGCTGATTATAAAATGGATAAGAAGAAAACAAGAAACACCTGAAAACAATCAATAAACTAATCAACAAAGAAACCGCAATCAGACTACAAGACTAGGACATGAAATAGTAAACTAAGAAACTACAACTACAACACAGAATTCCTAAACATGTCATACAGCGGGAAATATATGACAATGGTGATTGATACATAATCTGGATGATATGTATATGCAGCACACATGCATGGCTAAATGTTTGCCTAAAGATGACAACAAGGAGCTAAAGCATGTTTTAAGAAGGTGGATAAGTGTGTTTGCATTGTGACTGTTTTAACAGTTGCATATGTACTAGAGACATATGCAAATGTTTATATAATCCCAGTTTGTACTGTGTGAAATGTATGGTTGTAGGTATAGAGGCAGGATGTTTGCCTTTTCATTTTCAAATGAGTCTCAGTATTTGAAAGTAACTCTTTATTATATGTATATTATTTATTATATTGTATACTATTCAAATTAAGATTAATGAGCAAAATGTTAAGATTTACAAAAAGAAAACTTTACTGGGTTTCAAAAGCTTTTAAAGCTTGAAAATGTAACGCCGTTTGTCACTGTCAATTATTTTCTCTATTATTTAGCACAAAAACCACCACCCTCAGTATCATCATCATCATCAATAATCACAACTCATCACATCATACATCAGATTCTCCGTCTGTCTCAAATGGTACTCTGGTGATCCGTTCATTCATCTTCTCTCATTTACCTGCAGTTCTCAGAGAGAATCAGTCTCTCGTTGTGTTTTCTCTCAGGTTTGTCTCTGATCATCGCTGTGTCTGTGGCTCTTCCTCTGCTCATCACTGGACTTGTTTCATGTGTAGCGACTGTCTGCATGAAGTGTCAGGCTCGAGCTAAAGGTGGGGTTTTGTCTTGAAATCTCAAGGAGCTAATTCCATGGATGCATGGCATTTGTTACCCATTTATAAGTTTGTCAGAGTCATTTATTGATGAGAATCGTGTTTACAGTTGTTTGCCAGTGAATGATATTGTTGTGTGAGGAATGAGAAAATGGAAAGATGTTGTTTCGCCCCGCTGGTCACAACTAGGCAATGCACTGTGATGTTCAGAACTGATGTATTATTAAATGTGAATTATTATTATTGTTGTTATTATTATGTAGCGAATCAGCTCATGGGGAAATATGAATAATT